CACCCTGCCATATTCCAGACCTGTTCAAGACAACTGCTGACCACTCACTCCCTAAAGATTCTCCAAGCATCATCTTGGAGTAGACAGGCCCCAGGAAGCTGTACATCAACCATGTTTTCCTGGGTCCTGCACATTTTTTTTTTAATGGGGTTTTGTCGTCAGGTTAACAGGAAAACAGACCCAGGGTAGCAGCCTTCCTATTTCCTGTAAACCTGCCACATCTTCTCAGGCTTCTTTCAAACAAAGATTTCTGGGTACTTGGCCAGAATTTTGTCTGCACTAATAATCTGGTCTGCTCCCTTCCACTCGGCAATGAAGGCAAGGTGATGGAGAAGGCTCCATTTTTCCCTTTTTGCCCTGACTGCTAGGGAGAGCTCCACATTAAGTTTCAGTCAAAAATTCCCTCTTCTCCCCCAACTACTTCTTGGTCCCTATCTTTGACTCACTGCATTTGGTCCCCTTGGGTCTGGACCACACTGTGCCCTGTCAGTTTCTTCCTGATGCCGGGGAAATGTGAACTGACCGATAAAGCATGGTGCAGGTTTACTACCATGCTGCTCCCCGAGCACTGCTGGCAAAGCCCAGCCTCACTACAGCTGGCTGGCACTGCCCAGCAGTCTCCCCGCGTTCCCTCCCTGCATCCCTGTCGCGTGGTGAGTCCCTGCGCCAGCCACTCTGCTTACCTGTCATGATCCTCTGGGCTTCATACGGCTCCATGTAGCCAGCACTCTCGCCCTTCCCCGCTTTGCTCTTGACATCATTCTTGGCATCAAAGGGATCCGAGTAGTCGTCGGCTATGGTCACCTGAGGGAGGAGCACGGGGGAGTGAGTCCACCTTGGCTTACCTGCTTTGATCCAGCCACACAGACCAAACAACAACAGCCCGTGGCCTAGGTGGCTAAGGAGGGGCAGTGAAGGCAGGAACCAGGCCTAGGACCTGCCCTCAGGTCAAGTCTTGTGGGGAGGTGACAAGGGGCCCCAGGCTGGCTGGAAGTGCTCTACCTCCAGGGAGGAACCTGACATGAGACAGTGACATGGGACCGGGAAGGGCATGCAGGCAGAGTAACAACTGGAGCCGAAGCCCAGAGTCAAGAGCCTGGGACTGTGCTCGAGGAATGTATCGTGTTCACCTGAACGGAATGGAAGCCACAGGGAAGTTGGACACGAGAGTGCAGACCGCCTGGAAATGCTGACATGCTCGTGGTGCTGGCTGGGGCACAGCAGAGCTTGTCTGGAGATAACCGCGTTCAGCATTCCACTTCCCCCCTAATCTGGAACACAACCAGCCTTGGGTAATCAGACAACAATTTGGTGAAATCAACGCACTGTAATGTGGGCTGTGGCCTCAGACAGGCCGAAAGCAAACACAGGAGCCACTCGGGTGGACAGTGGACTGCGGGAACTGGGAAGACCTCAGAAGCAACACATCTGAAGACCTTTCTATGACACGTGGGGAGACTGAGGTCCAGAGGTGCAGTGCAGGGGCACGACAAAGCCCGTCAGCCAGGTCCCCCGCCTCCCCCGCTTGTCTGTATTTCAGAAGTTCCACTCATCACAGAGAGGCTGGGGAGGGGGTCTCACGGGGCCATGAGAACCTGAGACTCCAAGGAACTGGGACAAACTTCCCCGTTTTTCCCTTGGGAAGGGTAAACATCTCAGTTGGAGGCCGAGAGTCCTCCATTTCTTACTCCCTAACTTTTAATAGGAATCCCTGCATAGTGCGCATGGTTCATGGGCTCGTTAACCCAACTGCATAGTGCACATGGTTCATGGCTCGGCCACTTCACCCAAAGGACAGGGGTTTGAGTCTACCCAGACATGCCTCAGAAAGAAGCAATCTCTGGCAACCGACTTCCAAAAACCCAGCCACTGAAAACCCGATGGACTGCAGTTCTACACATGGGGCCACCAACCCAAAACCAAACCCACTGCCATCGAGTCAGCCGCGACTCATAGCCCCCATCGCCTTTCCGAGGTGGAAATCTTTACGCAAGTAAAGTCCTCCTTCCGAGGAGTGGCTGGTGGGTCTGAAGCACCAACGGTTATGGGTTAATTTGATGGGAACTGTTGATGACCACTATTAAGGGCACACCTACCCAAGGTGCAAGGACAGGAACCTACCAACCCCACTCCTACAAGTCACCCTAGACTCTGCAGCATACTTGCTGTGTGACTTCTTCTATCTGCCCTCTCTGGTCACACATCTGACGAGGGGTAAGTCCTCAGCCCCCCAGCCAGGGCCAACCAGTTGCCTCTCTAGGGAGGGGGTAGGTCAGCATTTCAACCCTTCAGGTTCCATGAACTGTTACTGAAATAGTGGGTTTTATTAGAAACCACAGGTACCTCCTTTCCCTCTTTGTTGCTGAGGTGATTCTTGAGAACAAAGGGATCGCAAGTAGTCCTGGGCCCCTGGAATGTGAGGCATGGGGGGGGCCAGTAACCCCAGGAGAAGGAAAAATGCCCCCTTGTCTGCCTGGTAATGGCAGCTTGTAGCAGCAGTCCTGGCAGAGTGCAGAGTGACCTTGGTGGCAGCCCGCCACCAGCTGCTGGGAACACGATGCCCACGGAGGGGTGGCAGGCAGCGGCTCTGTCACTGGCGTGTGGCCAGGGGCCAAGGAGAAGAGCAGCATGCAGTGGTCACTGCTCCCAAACAAGAGCAGGCTTATCGGTGAAGACCACGACTCAAGCAGCCACCATCTGAACCACTGTCCCCTTTTCCCCCAGCTGAGGGACGGCCTGGAGTCCCAGTGGGGACAACTTCCGGATGCTGATGTTATAATCATGGTCTTTCTTAAGACTCCCTCAGCTCGAATGACACCAGGCAAAGGGACGAGAGGGCAGGGGAGGCTGCGCCTGGCACTGCCTTGCGTTTGATATTCCTGATCTACTGTGTGCAGGACCCATTTGGGAGAAAATTACACACACGAACCACTGAGCAGAACAGCTCGGCTCCAATCTCATGTAAGACCTGGGCTTTGTTGCTGTTGTTATGTGCCGTCGAGTCGGACCCGACTCATAGCGACCTCTCCTTGGGTTTCCGAGGCGGTATCACTACGGAAGTAGATTGACCAATCTTCCTTCCGAGGAATGGCTGGGGGGTTTGAACCACCAGCCTTCTGGTTAGCAGTCAAGTGCCTTAGGCACTATGGTTCGTGGGCTTTAGGGGCTCAGAGTTCAGAGGACCAGAGGTCCAAATGGAGAAAACGATGGACCTGGGGGGGGTGACTTCTGATCTTGTTTCTCTCAGCAGGGCCTCCACTTCTGTCTCTTTGCAACCTCAACACCCTTCACCTATTCTGTGACAAGAAAGAGAACAAATATTTTCCCAAGAAAACAAAGCCATTTCAGAGATTATTAGCTGGGGAGTGGGGCCTGCAATCCCCCCATCTAAGGTCGACATTCCAGCCCCTCTGAAGTGCTCTGTAATTTGCAAACACAGAGGCCTGCAGGTTATAAAGCAAATCCTTGTTCGCCCTGGGACGGCAGCTCTGGGAGGCCTGGGATTCAGCAGGCACTATCTATGCTGCCTAATGAAAATGAGATCTGAGCCTGGGCTGTCACGGGGCCCCAGCTGCCCGCCCTGCTCACTTCCGTTTCAGTAAGAATTTACAAATCCTAAACCCAGGAAAAGGCCCTGGTCCCTGAAGACATATGGTTCCAGTTATACCTGCTGACAGTTGAAAATCCTTCCGTTTAAAAAAAAAAAAGTTTAGAATTCTGTTCGTTTAAGAAGCAAATCGGAAGGTTCCTAAGCTGTGTATTTAATCAATTTGGTTTTGAACTTCAAAGTGAGGTGGGTGGAGGGAAGGGGATGGGAGATGTGAGCAACCTGAAACTCAGCAAACACGACACCCACAATCTGACCTTTCACAAAATCATGTCATCGTTTTGGGAGTAAAAATTTAACCAGGCTTTAAGAAAGCTGAGTGGGCAGGCAACCAGATACCGCAGGCACCAAGCCAAGGCCTGCGCGGCGTGGCCGCCATGCAGTGTCAGCTCTCTCTCCAAGTCGGGATGGCCGGACAGGAGGTTCCACAAAAGTGGCTTCTGCTGCGTTAAAAGAAAGAGAATGAGCTTGCCCTGATGTGGGCTGGGAGCCCTACTGGGACACCTTCTGCTCGGCTTTAAAACGCCCCAGTTAGCGAACAAGTCCCTTAAAGCTAATTGCACAATTTGACCAAAAGGGAGCCAGCCGGGACTTCTCTGCAGGTCAGACCACCTGGGCTCACAGAAAGCTTTCCTTTGAATCTGATCTTGGATGGGCCAGGACCTGACAGCTCACCCGACCTCTCCCCAGGCTCCTTCACGGTCACACGCCACAGGAGCTGAGCAGCAGCAGAGGCTGTGGGGGATGGGGGCCCTGTCTAGCCGGAGGGCCCCCTCTGTATCATTCTTGGCTCCCAGGATGAGCGCCTTAGCCTATCTCTGGAAAAGGAGCAGGGCTGTGGCGAAACCCCAGGCAAAGCCTTCTTGCTTTCCAACCAAAGTAGAGACCCCAGGTCCACCCTAGGCCCCAGTGGACTCTCACCAGCTCACGAAGCAGCCAAGCGGAACGTCCTCAGGAGACCTGTTCCAAGCTCTCTGTTTCATACATAGTTCGCTGCAGCTCTAGGACCTCGGCCGCAGGCGCCCAGCAAGGCAGCAACAGGGCCCTGGAGGCCAGTCCTCATGCTCCGGGGTTCTAGAGTTCCACCGTGCCAGCCGCCTCTCTGGTACTTTGAGCTGGTGACACAGATGTGGTGCTACCTGCTTCCTGTTACACACGTACTGCTGGAAGAAACTGGTCCCCTCCACAGCCTGAGGGCCTAATGGTTTTGCCTTAGGGATTCGGCTTTGCGATAGGAAGTGGGTATTCCACTCACCATGCTGCCATAGGCACCAATGAGCATTTCAGTTGCTGTGTGTGCAGAACCAGGAGTTGCTGTGTGTGCAGAACCAGGTCCTCTCCCCCCATTTGTAGTGAAAATGTAAACTGTAGAGCCCCTGTGGATGGTAACTTGGCAGAAACCATCAAAACCAAAAAATGCACGTAACTTATTACTCTGGACATGTTATCAGGAGGAACCAGTCCCTCGAGGAGGACATTACGTCTGGGAGAGGGTCGGTAAGATGGACTGACACGGTGGCTGCAACAATGGGCTCAAACACAGCACCAAACGCAAGGACAGCACAGGACTAGGCAACGGTTCGTTCTGTGGCACACAGTCGCTATGAGTCGTAACCGCCTCAGCGGCACCTGACGACAATTTTACTTCAGTGCAAATGTGTCCAGGGAGACATGGCCGGGGGTGCTCACTGAAGCAAGAACTAAGGAAACACTGCAAGCAATGGCTGTATCCACCCACAGGGGAACCGCTGATTGGGCCATGCTGGTCAGTCCCTTCTCTGGAATATTATTCAGCAGGTCTGAACAGCAGCTGCTCTGTACGCGTTCCCACTGTTCTCTGTGACACACTTCTAAGTGGGAAAAAAGCAAGTTGTAGATGACAATGCAGTGCAGTGAATGACTTAATGTGGCTCTTTTAGCCACGGTCTTTGTAACTCCCACCAGATGACTGGGTTTTGTTGTTGTTGTTGTTGTTGTTATGTGCCATCGAGTTGGACCCGACTCATAGCGACCCCTCCTTGGGGTTTCCAGGCAGTATCACTACGGAAGTAGACTGCCCCATCTTCCATCCGAGAAGTGGCTGGTATGCTTGAACCGCCAGCCTTCTGGTTAGCAGTCAAGTGCCTTAGGCACTGTGCTACCAGAGGTGCTTGTGGCCCCCCAAGGAGATTGGACAGCATACTAATAAGGCAAATAA